AGGTTAGGGGCTGCAGTCTGTGCGTTTTAACCCTCTAACAGAACATGGTTGTCACATTAGGCAATTATTACTTTGTCTACACGATTCCTTTTCGAGCTGATCTTAAATCCATAGGAGTTTGAAGTCTCTGGACAGAAACAATTTAATTTGTTTATCAGATGTGACATCATTGCCTTCTTTGCTCGGGTGACATCCTCAGCCTGATAGGGGGGCAGGGGTGCGAGTGTCCAACTTTATTCCAGCGGAGGAGGTAATTGGTGCTGATTACATGCAAAGCATGACATCCACAGCGGGTGGCCTTTGACAGTGACCACAACGACAATTTAATTTGTTCCAGAACGTCAACATGAGCTACTTCACTCCCTTGTCCAGACTTGCTCTCCCCCTGTGACCTTAAAATTTGCACGTGACTTTAGTCTTTCTCTGGCTCAGCCTTGGAAACAAAGAGCTCGGTCCTGGCAGAGATCAATAACCAGGAAAGTAAGTGGTTGAGCATGTGTGTTTGAATGGTGGGAGTGCATAAGGCAAGCGGCTCAGTAATAACATGGTTGCAGACGAAGTCTTTGTCCCTTAATGACTGCTGCACATTGACCTCTGGTACATTTTACTTTGAGACGCTGCTTTGGACAAAAATGACAGCTAAATAAATTAATTAAAATCCCAAAAAGCAACTCCATATCTGCTGGCTTGGCCACTCACTTATCATCACTGTAGCCACAGAAATGCTATCTATAAAATATGTTAATTATTCAGAATTTAGTCACACGACAGCCTATCATAATTAGATAGTCAGCATGGCCACGCCCCTTAAAGCAGCTGATTGACACTCTCTTCCAAATTAGTATAACACCTGGAAATTGCTGATCTGCTGGATCCTTTGTCACTAAAGGAGGAAGCACTGTACAAGGACCTCATGAGATGCTGTGGCACCACTAAAGTGGGCTCTTGTTTAATTTGGACCACTGCCTCCCGTAGTGCCTGAGAACCAGCATGCTTTTGGTCCTCCCATGGATTTCCATGTCCTCACTTTAGAAAATAAGGGCAGGCTGCCTCTGAGTGAGTGGATTCTGTTTTCAGAGAAGCACAGAGAGGACTGCGGGGCCATTGACATGCCGCTGAAAAGCTCTGACGGCCACATTAACACGCACCAATCACGGGAGGGCAACTGCCACTAAGACACAAATATGGCTCTTCAGAAGCAGTACACAGTCCAGCCTTGTTCCTCTGATTAAATGAGCAGGGTGACATTATTATTAACCATCCCCGCAGGTTCCAATGGACTAGACCTGTTCCCAAATTCAGTTTCTTAAGCCAGTGGGAAGACGTGGGTAGGTATAATGCGGGGCAACCAGGAAGCAACCATTTACTGTAATTGCAATATTTCTGTAGTTATAACAGTGCTTGAGGTTGTTGATCTGCAGGCACTGGGGAAAAGGGCAAAAAGGAATACTCATGAATCCTGAGACTAATAATAAGCTCTACTCAACTGTTTCTACTTCAGTCAGACACATATGAGACAGACTCAATCTGGTTTTCAGACTGGGAAATGTTCACGTTTCATACAGTAAATACACATACATGTAGACATACATACATACACACATATGTGGTAGTCTAAATGTTAGGGAAGCACACTTTTGATAGAAAGGTTGTGGGTTCAAATCCCCGATCAGCAAAGTACTGCTCCCTGGGTGTTGAATTAGCTGCCCCCTGCAATGTCGCATATGGGTTAAATACAGAGGACACATCTTGTTGTTGTGTAACAAATAACAATGAGAACTAATCACTTTCAATAGATACAGACAGCAAGAGCGTAACTTTGGCTGGAACATTGGGGGGGCCGAGGTCTCCACCCATTATAGGGGAAACATGACTATTGGGGGGGTTATATTGGCTGGATCCTAACCCCCCTGGAAATAACACCCATGACAGACAGACAGACAGACAGACACACACACACACACACACACATATGGAACCTGCAGAATTGCAGTAACAGGTTTCAAAGAAAAAGTTCTTATGAAGATCTGTTCCAAGCACTGACTTTAATACACTGCCATACAAATGGTATGTGAGAGAAGGCTGACTTTGTAAGCCAAATATCTGAGACCAAGTAACAGAGAATACAGGGAAAATAAGGAGCTGAGAGTATAATTATATGTGTCTCTCGGGAGCACCTCTTGTTATCCATGTTAGGTAAGTATGTCACAGTATGAAATATCACAGTCACATCTGGAAACGTGTTGCCTCATTTGGGGGAGCTTTCTCCATTCTCCATACCTGGGTATCCAATGCAGGGTCATGGGTAGCCTGGGGATTAGGCAGCATAGCATGGGGCACACCCTGGGTAGAGTGCCAGCCATCGCGGGGTCCATACACACACACATACACACACACACACTCCCTGCTTAATTATATAGACACTGCTTTACTTAATTGCATGTTTTTGGACAGTAATAGGAACCAACGCACTTGGACGAGGCCAGGCAAGCACAAGGAGAACGTTGAAACACCACATACGGAAATCCAAAGCCTTGAATCAACCCAAAAAAAATATGTTTATTTATCATCATTCATCTTTGCAAAGGTCCAGACATATACAAGGGAAAAACAAAGCCGGCACTTAGATTTAAAATGTCACAGAAACATACTGCATTGTGGTCTGGTAAAATTTGGATATCAGCAGGGTTGCATGTGGCAAAGCTCTAAGGTTCTGTGCATGTAAGTGGCAGCTGGAACAAGTCCAGTCTGGTCCAGCCACCTCCATTTAGCAGCGCTTTTCCAGATGGAGAGTTGACTGGCCTGGCATGTGAACAGTGATCTCTGAACACTTTGCCAGAGCAACAGTGACAGAATTAATCTACTTCCAGCACATTTCAAGAACAGCTGACGCCTTTAGCTAAGATGACTTACAACTACTGTGCTACTGGAAAGAAATGACAAATACATAGTCCACAGGCCACTGTTTAGATTATGCATTACAACTAGAGTTGGGATGTTAAAAAATTTACTTGAAATATCCATCCGTCAACCGTCCCTTTATCCAACAGAGGACCTTAGGGGGCTGCTGGACCCTGTCCAGGTGCATCCTGGGTAGGACTGCCAGTCCATTGGAGGGTACACTCACAGACACACAATGATCAATTTAGAGATGCCAATTTACCTAACTGCATGTCCTTGTATTGTGGAAGGAAGCTAGAGATTCAGATCCTCTGTAAAACCTGGTTAATGTTTCTATAGGAACAAGATTCAATAACTCTACCTGTGGGTCAGCTTTTATTTATCTCCTGGGGGCTGGCAGAAATGATGGTTTCATAACTCAGTACCTGTTAAATGTCTGTCCATTTCCGATGCATGAAACATACAAAAACCCTTGGATACACAATTATGTGGAATAATTTTCCTCAGTCTTGAAGCAAGCTGACCGATTTTTTTGTCATTAGCCTCTTTACTGATCTACAAGTCAGTAGGCGAAAAAGAAACAGATTCTAAAATAAAGAAATGAATGAGTCGCATTTTATAGTAATCACTTAATTAAGACGGTGTCCATTATGAAACTTCAATACATCTGCTTCAGTGTGACAAATTATATATAACAAGATTACATGTCCATACAATAATGCAGTACACATTCAATAAAAAGGATCCTATCAGACTAATGTGTACATAGGTTCCTCCAATAGTAGGGTAGTGTCCTCTATAGGCAAACTGAAATAAAGCAGTTTTCAAGAAAAGCACCTTATTCCTATACAAACACTCAAATATATTATGGTGAAATTAAATCCATGATAAGATAAACTGCCAGAATGATGTCATTTGTAATGCAGTGTGTGCATCTATTACTAAGCACACCTCATCATAAAGAAGCTTTTATTATTATTATTATTATTATTATTATTATTATTAGTCTTTTAGTGTGTAGTGGTCCATGTTACAACCTTCAAGAATATCCCGCAGCCAAGTAGACCTAAGAAAACCACCCTTTAAACCGCAGTCCTTAAATAGCCTGCATAATTTATGGCCAAATACAACGAGAGGAAAGACAATGGTAATGCTAAAAGAGAATGAATAAGCCGCCGATATTTACTGCTGGCCTTCCGTCGCACCGTTTACAGGCAGACAAATCGTTAGAGCCGCTGGACTGGGGCTGGAGTTTCCTGAAGCCGCCTCTGTCCGCGGTGCTGAAACGGGGCAGAGCGCCCCCTCGCTCCGGAACAGAGGGGGCTCTGTTAACACAGACCGCCTTACTGTTCTCAACTCGACTGGTTTGCTTGGACTTGGATCGGAGGCTTTTTTTTTTTTGCAACAGCACTAACGCTGTACTAACGGGGCTGCTTCGCTCGTCTCTCTGACAAGTCACGGATTACTCTGTGTACATTACGGCGTGTACAAGCGGAGCTTTAACTTTGCCAGGCTGCGCCGTGAAGAATGCTCCCAGTTTGTATTAGTCAGCTCTTTTTCTGCTTAAAGATGGCAATGCTGAGAAATATTTGTATGCATCTTCTAGCTGGAGATTTGCAACAAGATCGACAGGCTTTTGTGATACCCTTGAAGAATTTGGAAATCGATTGAAAAAGGAGGAAAAAAGAGCCGCTTGCACTGGATGTTGAAGTGAACTGGAAATAAGCCGGGAAATACAATTCCAGACGTTGCTATCCCCACATTTATGTTGCTCACCATAGCTGGCCAGGGTCTTATTATTCTACAGTGAGCCGTCGGGGAAAAGCGGGCAATCATGTTTCCGACTGGGTTATATGAGAACACCATGTTGCTGGTGCCGCTTGCTAAACACTGGAAAGGACAGCAGGTGTGATGTATAACTCTACTTAAACGGCATTCCCTGAATACAGGATTACTTTTTTCCTTCCGGAATTTTGCAAGCTGCCTTTGCTAAGCGGTTTAACTGGAAGTTGCGCTATGTGCTGGTCCGCTCCTGGAGGACCTGCTTAATTCCGACTAACAAAGTGGAACCAGGCAGTTCTGCGCGGTGAGTTAGTAATGACCATTATCACTGTACCATTATGCGCGGTTAGGTGTCGTGCACTTCCTTGCAACAATAAGTAAATCTTTTATCCTCCTGCATACAAGCTAAGGGTTATTAATATTCCGCAATTTCAGATTCAATTGTTTACCTCGCATCGCTTAACGATAATGCGATGCATCAAGCTTGGCTGCTCCATACAGCGGTTCGGCTTCTCCAGATAATGATGCGTCGCATAATCGCATAGAAAGGCCGTGCGGCTCCTGGACGTGGCTGCTTTGATGGCTCACTTCTTGTTCCGTCGTAAAGGGTCAGCCATTTGGAATAAAGCCCAGGCAGACCGCGGTTATTAATGACTGGGGGAGATTTCACTTGCTCAAGGCTGCCGGATTAACGAAGTTAGGCACAAGAGGAGATGCGCACTTACGGTCATCATCACGCACCCAGTGACAAATGGTACGAATTATTGATTAGAGGAACTAAGTACATAACTACCTGTTGGTCGTGTGATCCTAATTAACCTGAACGGTGTGTAGAAGATGTATGTATGCTGCCAAACCAGATTTAATATGATTTTTAGCCTGAATAAATGTAAATGAGTCTTGGGAAGTATAAATAAACAAAAACAATTTGATAATCCGTTTAAAACAAATATTTCGGACTCAGGTGAGTAAATGGGTACCCTGTGAAATTTCTTCGTCTTATATCCATGGTTAATATGGTTATAAATTTAAACAAACAAAATGTATATACACATGAAACGCCTTCCCTGTAAATGCATACTCAAAAAATAAAATAAATAAATTCAGTGTAATTGGCTCCCCAAAGTATAGCAAACCCACAGTAGCGGATTCTCACATCTCTTTGAACCATATTTACCGTGACTACACTACTGTCTGAAATACCAATAAGCAATGTTCTGCTGGTATTTTACAATGAGGTTCGTACGCGTTTTTTTTCTTTTCTTTTTTTGCCGTAACTTGTAATATTGTCAGTTATGTACTGACATAAGAGAATTACAAAGTACCAACTCGTTTTAAAATACAGCAGTAAATTCAATTTTAATCTGCATATAGCAATCTCGTACATATATGCATAGGCTACATGTATAGATATATAGGCTACGTTAATAAAACGGATCAAACTACCAAAATGTTTTTGCAGGCAATCATGAAATAAGCCTGATGTAACACTTTAACCCTTTCGATAAAGGGGCCGTTGTAGTAACTTTAGCAATCACTGCAGAACATTAACAAAGGTGAAATGACAGTTTTATCCAGGGTATTTCTACTCAAAGCCAAGATCTAGATGTGCGCTACGATTTCTTTTCCAGTTTAAACCGTCAGTTCGCGTTTTATTTATCTAACGCTAAGCGCTACTAAACGGTCTTTTCTTGAACTGCTTAAATTATTTTGACATCCCATTAGCGAGATAACGTCCTTTTCCTAAGGACAGCCTGCATTGTTTCTTTAAGTTAATCATGGATATGCTCCGCTTAACATCAAAGTAATTCTAGGCCTATGTTCGGAGCATTTTAAAGAATAAGCAGAATTCACTTCACTCCGTAAAGAACAGTTTAATGAGAAAAGTTGCATACAATCGGATGTTGCAGATTGGTACCGTGTCACGGCTGCTGACACCCACCCTCCTTTCTGGATGCGTAGGAATTACCGCGGCCAATGATGGGTCTCGCCCCTGCGACCTGCGTCCTGCTGCTCGCCCTGATCGCCGTCGTGTCACCGGCCTCCGTCAGCCCCGAGGATTACCCAGCGGATGAGGCCGAGAGGACGACCAACAATGACATCATCTTCGACGACTACCGTGGGAAGGGCTGCGTGGACGACAGCGGCTTCGTATACAAGCTGGGGGAGCGCTTCTTCCCGGGACACTCGAACTGCCCGTGCGTGTGCACCGAGGACGGGCCGGTGTGCGACCAGCCGGAGTGCCCTAAGATACACCCCAAGTGCACCAAGGTGGAGCATAACGGGTGCTGCCCAGAGTGCAAGGAAGTGAAAAACTTTTGCGAATATCGAGGAAAGACCTATAAGGTCTTAGAGGAATTTAAGGTAGGAGCAGTGTCAAAGGCATAATGCATGGCTTTCTGAAGAATCATACCTAATACCTACCTGATTTATAATCTCAAATAATAACCATCTTCACCAACCATAATACCCAATTTATACCGGTAACCAATGGAAGCTATTGGTAATGGACCAGTTATTATCAGTGCCGGTAATTGGACTTAGAACTGATATACAAAATGCTTAATACCCAAGGGAAAGTACTACCCCCACTATTTTCTTTAATCGATTAGATGTTTTATCGATTGGATGTAATGGTCCAGTTGACGCCCTGTTTTGCGAAATTAGTTTTTTTTTCTCTTCTGCTTGCGTGACCCATCAGCCAGTCTTTTTTCTTTTAGGGAGAATTGTAATTTTATTCATCGTGATATCCTGTGCCTGAAAATAATCACAGGATTCGGCAAAGAAAATCGTTCTTCCGACTGAACACGCGATCTACGTAAAATTTAGTGTTGCACCGCCTTCGGTTTGTTTGAAACACAAAGGGGGCAATTTCATGATTAAAAGCCAGATGCAGGTGCTACGTTTACTTCTTGAGCGTGATCCCAGATTTTCTCATGATGATTATAAACGGATTATAGATCGTCGGAGGAGTGCAGCGAAGACCCATTCAGTTGCCGTGGTCCTGTTTGCATGAAAGTTGCTTGCTTCTTCTTCAGTCAGCTGACCGCAGGCGCCTACATTGAATCTGCAGTCCGTCCGCAGTACCAGACAGCGAACGAAGAAGCATAAAATTAAAAAGGTGACTTACATTTACGGCATGGTATCTGTGGCTGCGAGACAGGATTGGTTATAAAAACAGGGTCAGGTACAGCTCTGAGAATGATGTCCTTAAGGGGAGGCTTAATTTCCTAAAGAATAGACATTTAATAATGAGTCCTTCAAAACAATCTGATTTGCGGGTTTAGACTTTGATTTTAATGGCATTATAGAAATCAAATTATTGACACAATGGCCTCTGGTGGAATGTCTGAATTTGAGTCATGGTCTAATTATAGTCCTGGTATTTTGGGAATATTCAATTATCCTTGAGTCTAAATGAATTTAATTTGGGGGATTGCATGGCACAGGCTGCCTGTGTCAGTAATAAGCCAGATGGAGGAAAGGATGGAGCCTGCAGTGTTCAGTTTCAGGGCCTTAGTTTCAGGGCTAAGGTCTGGGTGGTGCTCCATTGCGGATGCTTGTCACATTTTGAGGGGAGGCTAATGATTTCTGCCATTTATGACAGAGTGGCCCTGTTATTGAAGCCAGGTCACATCTAAAATGATCCCAGCTATTTACACAGGCTTTGCTTTGCTACAGAAGGCACTGAACTGATGATTTTAAGAATAAACCCAGCTACAGGTTGCTTCGCAAGTAAAATACAGTGCAAAAGTCTGAAATTTTCTATCAGGTTTTACTACAGATGGACGTCACGTTGAGTGCTGAAGGTGTAGAAAGGGGAATACCTGGAATCTCATTGTTATTCACTTAACTTCATGTCGACTGATTTCCGTGGCATTTTGCATAGAAAGTAAGCTCAGAACGAATCTGTTCTCCCAACGAGAAATGCCGCTTCCATTTTACTTTAGCCCTGGAATTTGTACTGACTATAGTTCAGAGGGAAAAGCAATTATCACATTGTTGCATTATCTATTTTTATTGTTATTATTTTATTTTATGCAACCGTGTTCTTCATAACAGCTGATGCTGCTATCTGAAGACTATAGACAGCTATGATGCAGAAGTCTGCTTCAGCAAGGTCCATCGTAAAACTGGATGCGCTGGAGTCCATGGGCCCTTTGTAGTAGCTGGCTGGAAATTTCAGCTAAACAAGCAAAATACGCACGACACAGACCAAGATGCAGTAGGACCGCGGTGACACATCGCTGACTTATGCAGATATGTAAGTGAGGCTGTCACTCTTGCATTAATTTCAATGTCGTCAGCTATAGGACTTGTAAGTACTATTTCTAAGTGAAAAAAAATAAGCAATAAGCAAAGGTGCAGAAACTGGGCGGTCGGGGAGGAACAGACATCCATCCATTTTTTGTAACTGCTTGTCCTATTCAGGGTAGCAAGTCTGAAGCCTATACCAGAGGCTATGGGCGTTAGGCAGGGAACAATCCATTATTAACTTGCGTCCCTCCAATATGAAACTCTGTGTTACACTGATGCCAATAAGGTAGTTCAGTGAATAATGGGCACAGTCACTCTATAAACGTATGCACATGCACTTTTAGAACACTTTCTATACAAAGTCAGATCCCAGGCTTAAAATCAATCAATCAATCAATCAATTTATTTTTCAACGTCCCCAGAGAGTAAGCCAGAGGCAACAGTGGCAAGGAAGAACTCCTTCATAGTAAGAGACCATAGAAGTAACCAAAATGATGGAAGCAGCCTTGGTTACATGTAGATTCCGTGTCCAAGCTGTGAATAGGGATTATTATAAGGTACTTTGCATGCTCTGGTGCTGGAAGATATTATTGGACTTATTTGTGCACAGGCCCATTAGAATATTTGTTTCTTTTATATGTCTCCTTTCCTCCTCTATGCTCATAGATGGGGGGGCATCGCTTTAAAAGCACAAAACACTGTGGGGAGGATGAAATGGACTGACCTCTTTGCTGTTAAAAACATCACTTTCCTGCCCTTTTCTTGCAGGAAGTGCGTGGGGCATGTTTGCATTCAGGCAGGGTCGCGGGAGGCGCGTGTGTGAACTCATTTACTGATTGCTTGCAAACAAAGCCTTCATTTGTAAAGACACGCCCCCTCCGCTCTCCGTCTGCTTCGGCCCCGTGGAGGAGCGAGCCCGTTCCTGAGTCACTCACCGACTGGAGGAGTACAGTGGGAATAATGTGCTGTCTGGAGTCTGAATGAAGGATGACAAGTACTTGATCACAGCCTGTTCTGTATTAATAGGTTCCCGTTTTCAGGAAACAACAAAAGACATCAGACAATTTCAGGAAATATCAGAAGGGAAGGTTTTGCAAAGAACACATATTGTGTGTCACCGGCGTAGCTTACAGGAGTGAAGCAGTACAGAAGAGGAACTATCAAAGTTCTTCAGTTTTTCTTATTTTATTAAATTGATTAAATGGCTAAGCGCCATGGTACAGGGGTCAGAGTTGTTGCCTCATACCTCTGGGACCAGTTTCATGTCTCCAGCGTGGTTCCATGTGTATGGAGTTGGCGAGTCTTTCCTGAGGGGTGGCATGGTGGTGCAGTGGTTAGCACTGTTGCCTCACACTTCTGGGACCTTGGTTTGAGTCTCTGCCTGGGGTCCATGGCTGTGGAGTTTGCATGTTCTCCCTGTGTCATTGTGGGGGTTTCTCTGGTCTCCCCCCATCCAACAGCATGCTGAAGCTAACTGTAAGTGGATGGCATCCCATATTGGTTTGTTTCCTACCTTGTGCCTGTAGTCTTGGTGACAGGCTCCAGACCCCCACCCCCGACCCTGAATAGGACATGTGGAGGAAGGATGGATTAATCAAACTTAAACTGTGGTTTTAAGGCCTGTACAGTTACATTAGAACCATTCCATCCACCATCTCCTAACTGGTTATTTTCATCAGGGTTGCAAATACATCTGGTTCAGCTCCACCAGTTAAGCACAGCCTGAAGCTTTCAGGGTCAGCACTGGGTGAAGAGCTTTTGCCATTTCTCCAAAAACCCCCACCATCCAGAGGAGCATCCATCTCTGTGTCAAGAAGGCAGGAAATGGAGCACTGCTCATCTGTATGTCCATCCATTCCTCATCCAGTTTCATTCTCTTGACATGGTCACAGTGCTACTTATTTACTTGAAAATAAATTAAAAAGTAAATAGTGGCTATTTCATTGCATTGGATAAAATAATCTGGTAGGTTTTGAGACAAGCAAAGTAATGCGGAAACTGCTATTGCTGATTGTGCAGTGAATCAGGTCAGGTTAGCAGACCGGTGGTTTGTATTGAGCTGATATTCATAGCTAAGAGGAGCCAGAACTCTGCTAGTACAGATTCGGCTGAGCAGGGTTGCAGAAATTTGGGCCTGTCGTATTACAGAACATGGAAGCGAATCCTGCAATGGATTGTGAAGGTGAAGGGGAATTCATTGCTGATAAGGAGAGGGACAACCTCAATAAAAAAACCTCTTTCACGCAATCAGGTGCTGCAGTCCAAACTAATTGCTGATGTCAAAAATAACAAGAGAATCGGGAGGGCTCTAACTCACGCCTTGATCGAAGTGTGTCCTGGCCCGATTTCCTATTATCCTCAAATTCACCACTCAGACTGCCACCTCTCCATAGCCTTTGAAAGACTGCTGTGGCTGTCTTGATTTTACATGCCCTAAAAATACAGTGTGCCGAAACTACGCTTGGTTTGTCCAATCGCACATTTTTGTGAGTATTAGGGTTGCTGTGGGAACTGCAGTGAGTTATGATAACTTATCATCATAAGACTAATTAGACTCGGGGTATTGTAGTAGGTTCCCCATAGAATATTCCGGAAAAAAAGACATATCGGTGGACTTATATTTATCAATTAAAAAAATAAAATAAAGTGCTTGTTTTCTGAAGGATGCTCATTTCACAAACCTGACTGTGGTGTAGTGCAGTTTTATTGCACAATCAAAGGCGCAAATCGCATTCATTAGCAATGGTGCTGACACGAGCAAGTTGACGCGGCAATTAAAAGGCTTCTCAAACTGGGTGTAACTTGATCTGTTTTCACCAGAGGATAGCTTTAATTAGGCTAATATTATCAAACAAGTTCAGTAGAGTTCAGGTACTAAGCTTACGTTTTAGTAGTGTTAATTATGTTTGTGTGTAATTATGATTTCTTGCTTACTCCTTGTCCGTTATTGCCTCTTTGTCTTTTGTAAGGGCCGTTATATTATTAATTACAAATATCACTGATGAATTAAAAACGACTTTAAACATTTTGTTGGAACAATCAAAGTAAACGTTGGGGGTAGCAGTAAATGTTAGAAAATGAGGGAATCGGTACGACAGTCATATTGT